ATTAGTTTTCTGTTATTTAGCACTTATTGTAATTTAATTTTAACCCAAATTTATAATTGATAATCTGTTGTAAGATTTATTTTTGAAAATATTAGAAATTAAAGTTTTAATTAATTAATATAAAGGTATAGTTGGTTTGAAGCGATAATTTCTACTCAAACAATAGCTAACTATTAAGAACTAATACTTGAATTGCTTTTGAAAGTAAGAAGCAATCATTTGAGCAGTCATTTATATGAACCACATATATAGGAATGCCCCCAATTGTTGAGCATTGGCGAGGGCATGTACTGTACAGTCGATGAAGATGTGCATGGTTAACTGTTAACATTACTGTTAGTTAAACTGCAAACATATTTATTCAAAAAATGCATAATGTTATACTAGTCATCAATTTTAATAACTTAATAAATGATGGTTATTGATGACTATAATGCAGTGTTGGTTGACGTCTGGATACTTACTATTATCCGATCCGTAAGAAAAGTGTTTTAGAAAACAATAACTGATTTAATTTATATTGCATTCAATGCTTTTAATAGAATATAATATACAAAGGCTTTGAAACTAATATATATATAATAAGTTGTAACTCAAAATGAAAAGTTTTAAAATATAGCAATAATAACAGTTCTTTCTATGTATTGAAATGAATAATGAATTATAAAATATAATTGTCTAACAAAGTGAAGGTATAATTAATTAATTAATTAATAAAAACAATAAATGGAATGCAATTCAATGCAATGCATGTATTGATGTGTGGTTTTTGTGTGAATGCATTGAAAAATGTGATGTATTTTTCTCTCAATATAAGAATCGCCTGTTTTTGTCGGTTCTATTCATTATATAAGCAGTTATTTAAGACAACGATTTGTTTGTGAAGTTTTGGTGAACAAACACTTCACTTAATAATACATTGCTTTTTGAATTAATGGCCAAAACATTTAAAACAATTGGATAACCGCTTCTCAAAAAACGATAACATTTGTTACATAATAATAATATTATTAATAATAATAGTTAATAATAATTGTAATAATAATTGTGGTGTAAATACTACGACAATCTGGAAAATGAATGGTTTTTGTGCGATATGTTAATCATTTCTATATATCGATCATGTTTTTTACAAATAATATAATCGTTTTTCTGTATTTCATTCATTCATAAGTACACTAAATATAGTAATAATGTTTCAATCATTCATTCAGAGCCACACACTTATAACAAACAACTTTTTTTGGTTCCCATAAATCACTCGGTTTTTTATAATTAAAACAATTAATAAATAATACTAAATAACAAAAAGCAATATAACTTATAAATATATTAATATTTAATTCACAAATGCGGTCACAATTGCACACCCGATGGTTATTACTGTATATTAATAGCTCTGAACATGATTTATAAACTCAATACACTTTCGACTCGTTGTTGTATAACATAACATAAATTTTAACATAACTTTTGTGATACTCAGTAGTATTGCACATACGGTCAGGTATTTTATATCTATAATATATATTTTTGTCAATTACTTAAATTTGTTTTCTTTTCAAAAGAAATTTCAACTCAAAATTTTAGAAATTTTGTAATAAAAATAATAATAATTTGAAATATAATAAGTATTAGAAATAACATAAAGAAAAAACAGTTTTGTCTCACTATTGATGGCACTATTACTGTATTAATAGAAACATAAAAACTTTTTGATATAATATTATATTTTATATGTATATATAAATTAATATATAATTTGTGTTTTTAATATCGCATAATAGCTTATCATTCGTGTAAACCATTAGTGACTAAAATCTAAATCTAAAACATCTCTGCCTTTGGTTTCTGTTGTAATAATTATATTAAAAATTTGATAATAAATTCCTTTCTTTATATTTTTCAATTGAATTTCAATATTAAAACATTTTTTAGGCTTTCAATAGTGGAATGACTATTAAGTTGGGATCAAATATTTGTGGTATAAAAAATATTACAAATCATTATCTCTTTTTTATATCAAATTTTGTAATTAATATTTCGATTTGATATTAAATTTAAATATGGTTTTCTTTCGTATCATTTGTTTGAATTGTTAATATAATTAACGATAATATGATACACAATATCTACTAAATGTGATGAGATTTTGTGCCCTTTATTTCTCAATTAATTCAAAAAATATGAATCGCTTATCACTAATCCAACTAATCCTATAATAGAAGTGCAGGTTTTGTGGTGACCCTGTATTCCTGTATAATATGTGTGGAAATTTACTAAATTCTTGTAATTGTTGTCTGATTTGGACCAAAAAAAGCAAAACACTTATAAACACTATTAATAGCATCACAGCTGAGAGACAATTGGGTTTCAATATTAATATTTTCGATAAAATCTGTTTTATATATAATTTTTAATAGACTAGAGATCGACATCTTTATCGGCTGTTTGTGAGGCCGTGTCTGACGTGCAAAAAGGCACCCGTTTTCCGAATATCGGAATATATATGCGATATTTGCGGCACTTATTCACTAAATTATTATTATTATTATATTCTTATAATTGCTTTCTATGTCTCCGAAGTACTCAATCCTTCTTCTCGAGCGCTGATACCTCTTTCAACAGCTTTAGCGATGTGTTCATCACTTCCTGGTTGTCGTCTTCGTCGTCATCGTCGCCATCATTGTCTTCATCCTCTGATTTGACCTCTGATTTGACTTTTGAATTCACAGTTTTGTTAACAAGCGATGACTTAATAAGACTGTCGAGTAGAAGACCCCCGTATTCACCGCCGTTTGAATCGTTGCCACTTTTGACCACCTCTTCGTTCATTCTCGCGTTTTCCTGCAATTTCCTCATCATATTTGAGGCGAAAAAGTTGGCACTATTTTGTCCCGAATTATTCACTTCTAATGGCAGTAAAGGAAAGGCCGACTGCCATAACGGCATTTGACCCGAACTGTCCATTAAATTGATGGCCGAGTTATTTGGTGAGCCGTTCATAACCCGGTTATTCGTACTTCCATTGGATTTGCCAACACTTTCCTTCTTAACGGTGACATTGGTTTCGCTCAAACGCTTCTTCGGTCTCAATAGATGTCTTTCTTTGACTTTGTATTCAAGTGTTGAGTGCGGGACTCCGAACAGAGTTCCTGAAGCAATACAATATCATTTCAATGGCATTCATAGCACAGACATAGTGTAAAAGGAGTGATACATACCTGCCCTGTGAACACTCATTTCTCCCCTTTGGACAGCTTTGACGGCCTTCGCCAAGTCGTCTCTGTTATAGTTCCTATATCTGCCTCTTTTGGGTCGATTGCGTTTCTCAGGTGTGGATGGGTTGCTGTGATCGCTGACATTCCCGCTCATCAGCTCAGAGGCCGAGAGGCCGTCAAACTTGTCGTACTTGTCATCACTCGCTAAGGCATCAGAAGAAGAGTCTTCTGAGTTGTTGACGATATTAGAGGAGAACTTTGCACTTGTGGTCGAGTTATACAATCGGCGACTAATACTCTTCGCAATGATATCTTTCAAAGAGAAACTCTTGCTCTCGAACTCATCATTAATTCGTTCATCACTTTCTGTATGACTAGAAGAGGTGCACAACTGGTTAATGGTTTCGGTATCACTAGTGTTCACATTTGGCTGCTCTTCGTTTGATTGTTTGGATTCAGATGTGACGGCAGCAGAAGTGGTCTTAGGTTTATAGGACGGAACCTTTAGTATCACATTATTATTACCACTCGTGAGTTCTTTGTGTGATTCACCATTTGATTGGTTCGGTGATGATTGGCTCGAATTGGTTCGCGCCGTCTGTACGATCTGGTCTTCAGCCAATTTACGGACCAAATCAGGCAATAGTGGTATATTGGGAGTGAACGCGGCGTTTGTCATATCATCGCAATTGTCTTGTGATTGGCGTTTAGCCAAAGCTAACTGATGTATGTTTGCCAACAAGAACTGTGTGAAGAGTGGCGCTAAGGCCTGTCCGCACTCCAGTGTAGACAACATCTGAATGGTCGCTAAGGCCTCACAGTTGTACAAATCGGTCAGTGAGTTGAACCCAACGCCAGGCAAATAACCCGCCAGTGCTTGCAGTGCCTGTCCGGAGCCCATGTCTGCCATTGTCTGCTCCTCCGTGTGGTTGGTGTGGTTGGTCTTGGCTCTCACGGCACCACCACTTCCGCCAGTATTCGCTTTCTGTGTGATGGCGTTCTTCAGGATCTGTTTGAGTGATTCGCTCGCAGACATCGCACTGTTGTTCGGGTCGTCCAACATATGGTTGAGCGTTGAGTTCGTTTGATTCACACTTTTATTGTTACTTTTATTATGATTTAAAAGTAAAGATTTAGAAAACTTTTTATTTAAAGTATTGGAATTTGTTGTGGTTTTAATGGCTGTGGCGGCGGATGGACTGACTTTACGTTTACCATTAGTCTTCTCGAGGGCTAACTTATAAACTTTGTTTCGTAGAGTAGAGCGCGGAATACCGTATATGACAGCAGCTCTTCTGGTGCCTAATTTACCACTTTGTATATCCCTGAGCGCTGCCTCCAATTCCTCCTCAGTATAGGTTCGCTTCCATGTGCTGTTTGTCGGCAAACGGTTTCGCTTTCTGTTCACACAATTATATATCAATTAATTAACTCTTTGAATGCATTGACACTGCATTGAGTACTTACATGGCTTTGGTAGTGGTGGGGGTGGGGGTAGTGGTCGAGGGTTGCGATGGTTTGGATGTTTGTGAAGGTTTGGGTACTTTTATTACACATTTCTTATCACGCATTTGAGTGGCTTTTTTGGAATGCGAGTCACCATTAATTGATCCCAATTTATGTCTTGAATGAATGCTGAGATCTAATGGTTGATCGATTGGATGCGAATGAGATGATGACTTACACGAGCACTTGGAGTCGGGTGTCGAAAGGCCGGCACATAATGAGCATTTGTCACCAGAATTGTTGTCATTAGACGTCTTATCATCTAATAACTCATCACAGGTCGGGACAACACTTTCATCTATAGAGTCCTGCATTATTCAAGACATTCAAACTGTATCTCAGATTCAATTATATTGATATTCTTTACGATAACATTAATTAGGAATTTATTCTTAAACTCTTCGAAACAAATATAAGTTTAGAAATGAGAGAGAATTTGGAAAAGTTTAGCAATAAATAGGAATAAGTTTGAAGTGTTGAACACTTGACATAAAGTGAATGTTTGAATGTATGAAATGGTATCACTGTTTCCACTGCTATTCCTATTACTCTGGTTTACAGTAACTGTTATCCAAGTATTGAACGATTGATTATTCAAATACATTCTTAAATGAGATATTCATTGCATAGGAAAACAGTGAACAAAAACAGACATAAAAACACATTAACCATACATTAAGAGCGTATGGCTTATAAATGATTGGATGCATAACTGAGGAAAGGGTTAAAATTCAAAAGTATTAACTTACACAAGAAGATTGTAATTTGGTTTTACAAAAATAACACGTTTTGCTTTGACTCCAGTCTTGTGGTTCAGTTTCCATACAATTAAAAGGAGTCATTAATTTTCTCCATTTTCTGCCTCCCATTAATTCTTGAGCCACTCTTTCCATTCCTAATATCAATTGTGAACACAATTATAGTTAGCTTTTTGTACTTTTGCCGCTATATTCTGCTCTGCATTCAGCGCTGCATTTTTCATACCATTTAATTATTATATTGTTTTTTGTTTGATTTAAAACTCAGTCAATGATCATTAAATTTAATGCTTTTGCAAATTGCACTAAAGTCTAAACTTATTTGCATATAATCAATAAAAATAACCATTTTTAACTAAATTCACTCTCAAATGTTTATTACAACAATTAAATCATAAATTTTTAAAATATTGCAATTCTTTCACTCTTTGCGCGCATTTAATGAATCGCTATATTAAATGAAGCAAACAGTCTCTCTCTCTCTCTCTTATCCCTCTCTCCCTTTCA